CTTTGTGGTTTCTCTCTCTAAAAAGGTTTTTTTTTTTTRTTCACTTCATTAACAACAAAAAAAAAAGTTAATTTCTTTTCTCTCACTTTCTCTAATGGACTATTGTCCGTAAGATCAGAGATTTAGATTTAGATTTCGCACAGAAACTTTTGCCCACAATTTAAGTTTTTGTTTTTTTTCTTCTCTCACATCTGAGCTAAGAGATCTCTAGAGAGAGAAAAATGGGAATCAATAACGAAGAAGCAATCAAGCAATTACGTACTTTAATGGAAGATGGTATGTTTAAAGTTTGCTTTTTTCTCGAAGATCACCGACGAAATTCTGAATTTTTCTAAGCTAATTTCACTTTTTGTTTGTTTCTGGTATTGACAGTTGATGAATCACTGAGAGAGTCGTATCGGGTTAGTCAAATTACTTAAAGCTTTCTCTTTTTTTTTTCCTTCTTTAGATGCATAGAAACATTCAACTCTAATTTTAAAAAAAAAAACCTTTGCTTGTTGTTGAACCGATTGGGTATTTTGGGGATTGATAAACCGAAGAAGAAAAAAAATCCTTTTTTAAATTGGTTCATTGGAACAAATCTTGTGTCTTTGTGTGTTGTTTCCAATGATCTGGATCTATGTTGTTGTTGCATTGGTTGTTGAAAAGATCTGTTTTTGATTCAATGTTGTTGGATCTGTGTAAGTGACAAGTTGGAATTTTTTTAGTTAGTGTTATTGACTGATCCTAGAGTTTGTGTGACAAATGTAACTTGAATCTTTTGAGTTTTGAGGAAAGACATTTGAATTAGAAAATGGTTGATTTACAAATGCTTGTGTTGTGATGCAGAACATTCATCAAGGATATCCAACGGAGAATTTGTTACGCTTTCTTAAAGCGAGGGATTGGAATGTTCAGAAAGCTCATAAAATGGTTTGCTTTTCACTTAATCAGAATATAGTTTTGTTTCTTGTATTAGTTTTCATTCGATTTCGGGTGTTTTGGGGGGGTTAAACTAATGACTACAAGTGTTAACAGTTGATCGAGTGTTTAGAATGGAGGGCTGAAAACGAGATTGATAAGATACTGACAGTGAGTTTTCTGCGTTTGTTATCGAATACTGAATGATCAGACTTCAGTGTTTTTTCTGTGACCGGTTTATCTCATTCGCGGTGATTGATTTTCTTTTCCAGAAACCTATCGTTCCTGTTGACTTATACCGAGCAATCAGAGACACTCAGCTTATCGGTGTGTCTGGTTACTCGAAAGAGGTACATTTTGAGTCTCTTTCTTTCTTTAACTTTGACTTTAATAAGCGTAAAAACATTTTTGATTCCAACTAAATTTGTTAAATCATCAACTTTTAGGGTCTCCCTGTCATTGCCATTGGTGTGGGGCTTAGCACATATGACAAAGCCTCCGTAAGCATCTCTATTCATTTTAATCTCTCCATCTTCCACTCAATATAAAGTCGAAACTCTGACCATAGCGTTTCCGATCCTTTATTCAGGTTCATTACTATGTACAGTCTCACATTCAAATGAATGAGTACCGGGATCGTGTAGTATTGGTAAGTAAGACCAAAACTAAATTGTTTAGCTTTTTTTCCCCTCCTTTTCCTTCTGTACTTACATATGTTTGTCTTTGTTTATGTAGCCTTCTGCGTCAAAGAAACAGGGACGACCGATTTGCACTTGTTTGAAAATTTTGGATATGTCTGGTTTAAAGCTTTCAGCTTTGAGTCAAATTAAGGTAATAATCTATTATGTGTTCTTCACTAATTATTACATTTAAATATACTTTGGTTTAAAGCTTTTTTGGTTTGTTTTCTTTTCGCAGTTAATGACTGCTATAACCACAATCGATGATTTAAACTATCCGGAGAAGACCGAGACATATTATATTGTCAATGTACCGTATATATTTTCTGCTTGTTGGAAAACCATAAAGCCTTTGTTACAAGAGAGAACAAAGAAGAAGATTCAAGTGCTAAAAGGCTGTGGAAAAGACGAGTTACTAAAGGTAAGCAATTGATAAGCTCATTTCGATTCGTTTTCCCGAGAAGTGTAACTCTTGTGCAAGAACATTGGAAGTTTTAGCCTTTTTGATTGGGGTTTTTAAAATGCAGATAATGGACTATGAGTCTTTGCCACATTTCTGTAGAAGAGAAGGGTCTGGATCTGGAAGGCATATCTCAAATGGAACAGTAGACAATTGTTTCTCTTTGGATCACCCTTTCCATCAAGAGCTTTACAGTTATGTCAAGCAACAAGCTATGGTTAAAGGTTCAAGTGCACCGATCAGACATGGTTCGGTCCACGTTATGTTCCCTGAGCCAGACACCGAAGGAACCAAGATCTTCGATACTTTAGAATCTGAGTTCCAGAAGCTTGGACATGATCAGAAGATCTGATTACTCAATCGAGCCGTCCTTATAACACGATAAAGATCAAAGAAAAAAAAACCGGAATTTTCTCTGGTTTATGAGCAGTATTTAAAGATAAGAATCACCTTTACTTGTTTAGTTTCTCAAGATTTGTATTACTAGATCTACTTGCATCAGCTCGATGCAATTTCCTCGGAATGGATCTTATGATCCATATATAATATATATAAAACTCATTTCTATTTACATCCATAGACCAAGATCTCAGCAACATCATTGTTTGTTTCATTGTGATTCTTGATTTGTTACTCCTCTTGTCACTAACCATTTGCTTTAGCTTTAGGACTCTCCAAAAGAAAACATCAGCTTTTAGCTTTTTGTCTTTGTTGATAAGTTAAAGAAATCTACACCTTGACTATTTGACACGACCTGTCTACTGTCATGACTTGTCTGAAACAAGAACACACTACACAGTGTTGCTGATGACGTCAGTGACCGTCTCTTTTGACAATGTCCAAAGTTATAGCCACCACAAATTTCTACATATAGCAACAAAGCAACACTTCTCTTATCTTCTAACTTTCCCACTTGGCACCGCTTCAGAGATAGAGAAAAAATGGGAGAAGAAAAAGACCGGTTAAGTCCGGTTCACGAACCGCTTTTCGAGATGAGGAGGAGAACCGGGAGAGTGATTGCGTACCGGGCTTTCTCAGCTTCGGTTTTCGGGTGTATCTGTTGGATTTGGTTCTATAGAGTGGCTGTACCGGTTGAGACTGATGAGAACCGGTTGATTTGGTTTGTTATGTTGATTTTGGAGATTTGGTTCGGTTTGTATTGGGTAATCACACAATCTCTCCGGTGGAATCCGGTTCGGAGAGTCACCTTCACCGATAGACTCTCCCGGAGGTACGGCAAAGATCTTCCGAGGCTAGATGTTTTCGTTTGCACGGCGGATCCGGTGATTGAGCCACCGTTGATGGTGGTTAACACAGTTTTATCTGTGGCTGCTCTTGATTACCCACCGGAGAAACTCGCCGTGTATCTCTCAGACGACGGTGGTTCTGAGCTGACTTTCTATGCTCTCACGGAGGCTGCTGAGTTTGCTAAAACTTGGGTTCCGTTTTGCAAAAGATTCAATGTTGAGCCAAGATCTCCGGCTGCTTACTTGTCTTCCAAGGCAAGTGGTTTTGATTCTGCTGAAGAGGAGGAAGTTGCTGAGTTGTATGAGGAAATGGCGGTGAGGATTGAAGCGGCGACAAAACTCCGGCGAGTACCCGAGGAAGCTCGGTTTAAGTACGGTGACGGGTTTTCGCAGTGGGATTCTGATGCTACTCGAAGAAACCATGGAACTATTCTTCAAGTAAGTTTTTAGGGCTTTTTTAGTTATGTTTTGTAATTACTTACAAGAATCTGAGTTTATTTGTTTCTTCATCAGATTTTGGTAGACGGAAAAAAGGAGAATGCAATGGAAATACCAACGTTGGTGTATTTGTCGAGAGAGAAGAGACCTGAACATCATCATCACTACAAGGCTGGATCAATGAATGCATTGGTAATCATGGTTTCTTGTTTCACAAGTCATTCTGATTATGTACTAGGGCACTGTTTTTGATTAGGGTTGTGTTTCTTTGTTAGTTGAGGGTTTCTTCGAAGATAACTTGTGGGAGATTTATATTAAACTTGGACTGTGATATGTACTCAAACAACTCGAAGTCAGCACGCGACGCGCTATGCATCCTCCTCGATGAGAAAGAGGGGAAAAAGATTGGTTTCGTACAGTTTCCGCAGTGGTTTGAGAATCTTACAAGGAATGATTTGTATGGATGCCTGATGCGAGTTAATGCGAATGTAAGTTTTTTAGAGAGAGATAGAAAACACAGATTCTTAAATTTTGATTTTAACTAACTTATATGATTTTGGATGTGAAAACTCAATAACAAAAGTTGGAGTTTCATGGAATCGATAATAATGGCGGACCGTTATACATTGGAACTGGCTGCTTTCACAGAAGAGATGTGATATGTG